AACCCTATTCTAATTTTTTCGGCCCCTATATTCCTTAGTATAGCTATAGTATGATATACCCCAGAACCCTATTTTAAGGCACCTGTATAAACTTTGAATCCGTAAAACCCTGAAGCCCGAAGCCCTTCTTGAACCCTAAACAGGAACCCCTTATAGTACCTTCATACAACCCTTTTAATGAGACCTAAAACCCTTAACTCTTAAGCCTTAAGCCCTAAAGCCCTAAAGCCCTAAAACCCAAATTTTTCAAACCCTAAAGTAAAAGCCAGAAAGTTGGAACATCGTTATCCTCGTGCCGTTAAGGCAAAGCCTGGGAGTCGCAGCATTAATCATCCTGAAGTCCATGTTCCAACTTTCTGGATTTCACTATAAAGCCCTGAGGTCACATTTCAAGTTCCACATCGATCCGGTCCTGGAAGGCTCGACGAGGTATTACATCGAGGGCAGCCAGGACCACCGGGGACGGAGAGGAGGGTGTTGATGTTTTAATGTTTTGGGGGTTAGGGTTTCAGCATTTAGGGGTTCAATGTTTTAAGGGGGTTAAGGTGTTAGGGCTTTAGGGGTGTAGGGTTTATAGGGGTTGTGCAGTTTTAGGGGTTAAGGTGTTTAGAGCAAGGGGTGTGTTACGCTCTTGGGCCCTTTCAGTTTTGGTTTTGCAGTTTCCGGGTTGTCTCTTCAGGTTTCAGGGTTAACGCTGGGGTAAATGTTGTTGTTTCTTCTTTTTTTGGCGTGTGGTCGCAAGTGCACACGTAGGTGTGCCTGCATGCGCGTGTGTTCTTCTATGTAGTTCATACGAGATAGTTGTCTGGTAGTCCTCTTGTGCCCCTTTATTTGGGGGCCTTCCGACCAAGAAAACAGTATTTTCGGAAAAGGGCTGCCCTCGTCTTTAGGGTATTTCTGGGGAACTTATTTATTTGTACTCTAAACAGCTTGGAAAGGCTCTTCTTCGTTCTGCTATCGGCTCAAAGCCGACAGCCTGAATCATGGCAGAATAGGAAATACAAAGGATACTAAAGGATTGCAGGACTAAAGTTAGAGTTTAGACTTGTCGGTTTAGGGTCTTAGTTAACAGTTATTGGTTTAGCGTGTCTTTTGCTTGGCGTTTCTTTGCAGGAACCATTATTTTTATAATTATGTGATGCGAGTTTACGTGCTATTGTCTCAAAATGAACTTCTAAAAATTTCGCTTCAAGCACTAGAGGGTTCAATTTAGGGTTCAGTGCCTGGGGCTGAAAGGTTCCGAGGAGGGCTTAATGTAAACGACGAGGGGTTCATATAGCTTTCCAAATTTAGGATTTAAGGTTTAGCCTCTCCCGAGATTTCTCGATTCTCGCAGGCACCGGACCTCACTCAAGTCTTTTTCCGGGCCTTTCCCGAGTCGAGCCTGTTCCCCGAGCCTCTCCCCCGACCTTGTTTTGAGCTTTAGGGCTCTAGGGTTCAGGGTTTTAGGGTTTAGGGTTTAGGGTTTTAGGGTTTTAGGGTTTTAGGGTTTAGGGTTTAGCTTCTTGAGCCTCTCCTGCGTCAGACCTGTCATCTCCCAAAGCATTCCCGAGCTAGGCACTTACGAGCCCCGCCCGAGCCCCGTCCCGAAGTGCTCCCGAGCTACGTACTCCCAAGCTTTTTTAAGGGCACGTCCAAAATTTCCTTCCGGGTACATCCTCCTGCCTTCCCAAACACCTGAAAATTCCCTTGGTTAGATCGGTGGGACTTCCAGGTACGGGTCAGAGATGAGCGGGCTGGTTTTCTTGTGGACCTACCTACAGTCTCCATTGTCTTCTTTTGTTGACCCTCCATGAAATCATGACTACACTTTTAATTTTCTGCTTCATTTCACGCAAACGGTCTATGATCAAGCACTGCAAGGCCTGCGTTACTTGTACCGGCACTCGAAAGCTTCACTGGGTCAGCATCTATGAGCATGTCCTGTTGGGTGGCGACCTCCTTTGGATCATGTCGTGTTGCAGGTGATTCGCCCGTCGTGGCCTCCACAAAGTTGGACACTCATGCGAAGGCTTGTACGCGTTATGACGGCACGGTCAGTTGCGAAAAGTGGCGCTGGTGTGCTACATGCCTCATACATAGCTGCGGAGACTGCAGACGAACTCAGACCCCTGAGACACAAGAAGTGCCAAAAATGCGGTGCAAGAACGTCAAGAGGGCAAAGATTGCGCTGTTGAAAGCCGCTTACCTTTCCTTGTCGCGGATCGATGATGCTCCCGAGCTACTTGTGTGACGAGGGGATCAAGAGAAGAGTCGCACAAACTCAAGCATTGACGCATTCTCGGTTCCATTGAGTCCCCTAACCCTAGACCCTATAAACCCTAAACCTTAAACCCCCGAACCCTGAAACCCTAAAACCCTAAACCCCAAACCTAAACCCCTGAACCCTGAACCTCAAACCCTAAAACCCTTAGGCCCTTAAGCCCTAAATCCTAAACCCTTGAACCCTAAACCCCTAAACCCTAAAACCCCAAAACCCCAGAGCTCTAAAACCCTAAACCCTAAACCCTAAAACCCCAAAACCCTAGAGCTCTAAAACCCTAAACCCCTAAACCCTGAACACCTAAACCCTAGGATCCCTTTAAGGAGCCCTTTAAGGAACTCTTTAAGAACCCTAACCCCTAAACCCTGAACCCTAAAGTCTCAAGCGACATTCACCCAGTGCTGGCCTGTGCCGTTCGAGGATCAGACAGGCCTGGCTGTCGATGCTTGCAGCCAAAGAAATGAAGGAAGTATAGGGTTTAGGGTTTTAGGGTTTAGGGTTTAGGGTTGTAGGGTTTTAGGGTTTAGGGCTTAGGCTTTAGGGCTTTAGGGTTTAGGGTTTAGGGTATAGGGCTTTAGGGTTTAGGGTATAGGGCTTTAGGATTTAGGGTATAGGGCTTTAGGCTTAGGGGTTTAGGGTGTAGGGCTTTAGTGCATAGGTCTTTA